GGCCTCAATGATTTTATCCAGACTTTTTCTGATTAATTAATGAGAATATATATATATTATACAACCCGGTATCACGGCAAGACGTGAACATGTGACGATCTACCATGCTGGGAGACGTGAATATGTCACGGTTTCGTCCCTTCAAACGTGACAGTTACACGGTATTGTTAACATGGCCCAACCAGTGGAGAAATACCCGGAAGTGCCTCGCAAATGGTCTACCGCGCCTATTGGTCGGTTTTTATTGTCAAAATTAGATGTTTTTAATTTATTTTTTAATCGTCACACTCGATTTCGCCAATTTTCTTGTTGCCCTAGCTGGTCGACACCTCTTTTAGCAGAAACAAAGGCGACATTAATGTATTAAATCGATGTTAATCCATATGTGTGGAGGTGTGGATGTGGAATTAACGGACGTGACGTTGTGCGATTGCGTTGCCAGGCAACGCAATTTCCAAACTCTTCAACTACAACCCTAATTATATTTTAAAACATTTTAGAAGGCCTCACAAAATACTTTAATGTAAATTAAAATGTAAATGTGAAGGGATGTGTGTAATGTGGTGATTGACATTATTCACCCACGGATCTATGGGTTGGGGGTATTGTTCCGCACGGACATTTTAGTTAACCAGACTCCTGTTGATTTGAAATCCGAAAACATTTTCTAAAAATAAAATAATACTTTATTCCGAGTGTGCTTGCTTTTCTCTTTGGAGGTCATCACATAACGGCATTGTAATACACGGTTCGGCTGCATTAAATATGACATATCTGCCGTAGTTCTGTATGTATAGAGCCCTGATGAGAAGACTTCTGGACAAACAGGAAGCACTGCCGCCAAAACTGAAAACATGAGGTGGATCATAAATATATCAGCAATTAAACAACATCTTACATTTCTTTTCACACAATACGTCTCCTTGCAGTATCAATACTAATTCGGCTGACTTTTATATTTGATCCAATTGGTAGATAGGCTGTATTTACACCATAACGGTGCACAGCTGATAGAAAGGCACATATAGTGGTTAAAGCACGTTATTGAATTGTATTATTTTATTATTTTTCACAAAAATGAAACCATCAATAGCAAAAACAGAATTAACTGTCATTAGTAAACCACTAAAAAAAAAAGATCATAAGTGGTTTTGTTTTATATATATTTTAAGGATAATAATAGCAATGTAACACTGTCTATGACACTTACTGTATAACACTGATTTGAAAAAACATACAGAAAAAACGAATTCACTGCCCTTAATAAAGTATTTAAATATACATTTCAGGTGTGCTGTTTTCTTTAGATCATTGACATCTGGAGCTCTTTTAATGTCCTTTTTGATTATTGTTACACCAGGTCTTGTCAAAACCTTTATTCCATATTCAATATCCATTACTAAACAAAACAGCAATTCTACTCCACTACAATTCAGAGGTTAACCTGGTATTTTTACTCCACTACATTTATTTTAGTTACTTTGCAGATTCTGATTAATGATGTGAAATATAAACAACCCTTAAATCAGGCTTTAGTTACACCTGAGTAAAATTCAGGGAAAGGTGATTGTCAAGTGCCAACAATCAGGAGAGATATTTGATAGTTGCTACTTGAGAAGACTAAACATTTATCTGCAGATCCCTATAAAGTATATTCATTACTCGTTATTCTCTACTAATAGTTAATTAAAGACTGTATATAATGGCTATTTTGCATATCCCTTTCAAGATTTTCTAAGGTTCATTGACATATCATATACACAACTATTTCAATAACGTGCTTTAACCACTAGGCGGTGCACACAAGGTACACACAGCCATAATAACTTTGTATTATTAGTGTAGGACACTTGTGTATGTATAACATCTTAAAGGGGACCTATCATGCAAAATGCACTTTTGTACGTCTTTTCTACATGAATATGTGTCCCCGGTGTTCCAGGGAACTCACCAAGTGTCAGAAAACACAACCCTCTCTATTTTCCTCCATACCCAAATCTCTAAAAAAGGGGCTGCAACGGATCTGATAAAAACTGATCCAGATTTGAACACTGTCCTGACGTCAGGACGGTGGCGCTACGGCTATTGGGCCAACTCCACCAATCAGGAGGAGACGGCCATTGCCGTTCGAAAGCGCTCGCTTGAGACGCTGTAGTACATATGCCAGGCCTGTAGATGGTGCTGTTCTCACTGAATCTGCCCAGAGCTAGAAATTGTGAAATTGAGCAAAATGAGGCATGGCTAAAATGCATGATCTGTTTGGTATTTTGAAGAAAAAAAAAGTATAAATATGCCTTATATAGGTATGGTCCTATACTATATTATTCAAATATAGCATGATAGGTCCACTTTAAGATGTGTAGTTTTATTCATGTTTTCACATAATTGTACAGGATATTGCTATATTATTTCACATGTTTTACTTCTAATATCTGATTTGTAAAACATCACAGACAGAAAGGTATATCCGTCATTTAACAGTAAGCTATTGAAATTCTGA